GTTCAAGTCCCGATGAGGTCATTGGATTTTTTCAATTGGTCTAATCCTTCCAGCCGCACTATGGTCCTGAAGTCTACCAAGCCTCTAACATAAATCAGTACCAGGAATTAAATAATATTCCTGGGGAGTAAAGCGCGGTCGGCGCGTAAGGCTGACAANAAAAGGTTGCGGGTTCAAGTCCCGATGAGGTCATTGGATTTTTTCAATTGGTCTAATCCTTCCAGCCGCACTATGGTCCTGAAGTCTACCAAGCCTACTTTTTACTTTTTATATGTATACATTGCCACGTGTTACGTATGTGACTCTCGACGGGATTTGGATTGAATATTCAATTGATTGACCACTTTAACACACGACTCGTGACTACACGTAATTATAGTGACATCGATAATTTCCACACGTTACAGTTCACTAGAGCACACGCTAAGTCTTTTCCAGCCAGCAGTGTCTTCACTGGACGTTTCCTGTTAACTGCTTCTAAAAATGTCTTTCTTCTGCTTCTGGGCTCAGATACTGTCCGAATGTCGCCTCCCTTCCTACTGAACTAATCTTCAAAGTCAAAGTCACATTGAGACTGACGGTCAGCCAGTCACTCGAGTCAAATCTGGGGCTCATGACCAGATATTTATTGAACTATCATCCTATTATAACCCCTTTGCACCGACCGAGCAGAAAACATCGTTTCCAAAAGTACATGTATTGTTGCGTGTGTATCCGTTGTCGCGTGAACGTTTTTGCCGAGCCGTTGCCTAGAAAGGACTGAGGTATATTTGGTTGTTTCGTTGTCGTTGCCCAGTAACGGCTCTACACGCTGGAACATGGAAGTGACTTTACGGAATCTCCGTGCATATATGAACCAAACAAGACATTCTGGTAGAAACTAATGCAAAAAGCTTCTTAGATTCTTGGCAAATAAACTGAACTTGGATGAAGCGAACTTTTCAAGTGTACGTTGACGAATAAAGGAAACTTTGCAACATTGCGAGTTCTAATGAGAAATGTATGCATTCAAACCTATATACAATCAATGATTTTCACCTTCAAGAATTTTAGTTTTAAGTATATTTTTGTGTCTTTAATCATCAAAATTTCATAGCAGTATACTCCGTACATCAGGATTGTTTAATACAATTTATACCGTGAATAATTAAATTAATATAATCCAGCGAAACATGTGATTCTCCGACCCTGTCAGAAGATATATTTCGGTGTTTTCGTCACTCCTTCTCTGAGGAGATGTCTGAAGCTTCGTACAAGCATTCCCACAATTTGGAAGCGTCAAGGCGAAAGCAGGCATAACAAATTCCGCTGCCTGCGAGTTATAGATGGACTCGGAAGATTAGCCGCAACATTTTCTAGTAATTAGTTATAAATTTATCGCATATAAAACGCATCCAGAGAAAGTTTGTGACTTATGTAACGAGTAATTTTTTTTTAAAAAACATAGTTCCTACAGTTATACTCCTCATTTGGATGTATTGAAACTGCACAGTTTATTCGTGAGTCGCTGGTTTGGGGCCAATATTTATAAGGAAAACATATATCGATTTTAATGCCTCCCCTTCGCTTTTGAAAAAGCTGTTGGTATCAGAGTATCAGTCAGAGAATCTGTATACTTCCTTTTTCACGTAAGAAATTGCATACAGTTCCCTCCATCTTGGCTGCAAGTGAAATGAGTAACTGCGTAAATACATTTGGAAATCACTTCTTTGACATGAATCTTTTGCTTAGTTTTGTTAATATGCAGTTACAGTAAAGCAAAAATAAAGTAAAGCTATCCCTGTAACAGGCCGTGAAGGCCCATAGGGTTGTGAGACGTTGAGGCTCCCAAATTATCTAGACAATCGGCTCAAAGATGGCGGTAAGGTTGTCAGCCTTACACGCCGGCCGCGCTTTACTCCCCAGGAAAATTATTTAATTAATTCCTGGTACTCATTTCTGTTAGAGGCTAGGTCGACCCCAGGGCCATTGTGCGGTTGGAAGGGTTACTGTTAGTAATTCGTCATAGTCATTGTTTTCATGAACCTATACTTATCTTCATCTCCTGTGCAAAAGAAACTCTTATATATATGTTTGTGTTCTGCAACCCTGTATGGTTTACGTGTATTGTCTCAATTNCAAAGCTCTTAGCAGATGGCATTAATATAACAGTTCATGGCCCGAAACTATCCCAACTAAAGTCCAACTATTCGTCTCCTCACTCCAAGAACAGACGGCCCATAGATCAGCCGGTTACAGACGGTAGGACTTAATGGTTCCTTACCGTGGAGCAGTAAAATTCATAAGCAGATGTCGCGGAGCGAGCTATTGATTGAGTACATGTGCAAGATTGCTTTTTCACCTGCGGATTTTCTAATGAAAGGACACATTTACCGAGAGGAAAACAGAGAAGGCCGTTGAAGTAAAGAAGACCAGACTCCTTGGCATTACGTATTTAATTATATGAGGAAGAATTATGTTATAATCCTGACGCTGCAAGATTTGCATCAACAACAAATGAACATCAAGGTCCAAGTGGAATTCAGAACCGCAATGAGACAATGATAACTTTTTCCCGTCTTTCTAAGGACATGGCAGTGTAAATAAAACGGTAAGAATAGAAACACAGCATATCGACGGGTTTTAGTCCGGTAAATATTATTATGTGCTACTGATTCGTTTATTTCTGCGGGCTCTTGTGATCAGGATAATAAACTTCAAGTTCTCTAAAAAACGCCCCGGAAATTTCTTGTCTAGTTGTGAACAGAGTACTGAGACTTCCGGTTCCATTAAAAGCAGGAAATTCCTTGAATAGCTAAGCGACCAACAGATTCTGAAGGAAAACTCTTCTAAATTGCATATATTATGCTTTTAGTGAGGATGTTATTAAAATAAGGAGTAATATATAAATCAGCTTACATCCTCAAAACAGAAGATACGTAATAACATTTTTGGAAACAGCGGCATCTACATAGCATTCTCAGATGGTACATTAAGCATAACTAACTGAATGCTTTAATTTCTTAAAGTCACAAAATATTTGGCCCGAATATTGTTCATATCAAGCGAGTATTAACAAATTAATATTAAAATTAAAATTAAATACAAATTAATGAGCAGATATATTATGTTTCTAGACATCATTTTGGCTCTAAATTCTGCCCTTCTGTTCTGGAAATTGTTGGTCTCCGAGTTCCTGCTCGGTATATCAGAGATTTTGCATTGTTCAATGTTTGCTCCTCATCTAAAAATTGTCCCTCTGCTGGATGTGCAGCAGCTGCAAATGTTGTCTGCAGGGACGTTGACGTATTCGGAGCCAGGAATGTTTTCCCCAAACGATTTTTAAATATAGTATAAATGTTACTATTATTATTTGCATGTACAATAAACAAAAATTAAACTGAATTATTA